CCGTGAAAGAGGAGTGGACATGTTTTGTGTGGCCCCTGACAGTGGAACTCATAAGTGGAAATTATAAGAGGGTGGGCCATTTCGAGTCCCTCAGAAGATCTTGAGCACAATTAGAGCTGCCCAGCAATGGAACGGGCCACCTTGGGAAGGACTGAGCACCTGCCATTCAATCAGAGTCTGAAGACCACCTCCCATGCCGCATAGACAGGATCCCTGGCAGGGAGGTCATGATCGTGAACCCTATAATCATCAGTTCTGAAGGAACAAAAGAAGTCATCTGGTCCACTGTGTTGTGTGGAAAAGGATAATTGGATGCAAAAAGATTATAATGAGAAAAAATGCAAGTACTTGCACATGGCTAAGGAAAAAGACTAGAAGGAAAACTATGAAGACACTAATAATGATTGGATTAAGACTGAGGGTTATGGTGATCTTTTTTCTCCATTTCCCTATTTTCCAAATGTTTGGTAGTGTGGTGATGTTTTTGAAACAAAAGTAGTTTTATTCTTTATGGAAAGTCATCTAGTCATCCTGGGACAGGAAGCCTTCCTATAACCACTAAACTCTCTTCCAATCCCCAAATCCTGAGAAGCTCACTCAGGCCTGACAGCCAGGGAGGTGGGAGGAAAGTGGCTTTAATGGATGCCTGCTGAATGCCAGACCCTATGCTGGGTGCAGAGCCAAAGGCACAGTGCCCACCCTGGAGGAGGGAGGACTGACTGGCACATTATCTCGGCCTTTGAAACAGCCGTGGGGTGGGTCCTGTATTATTAAGTGGTAGGTGGCCAGCCAGGACCGGGACCCAGGTCTGAGGGTCTCCACTGTATATTGTGCAAGAAGAGAAATTCAAGGTGAGCAGGTGAGCTGCCCATTCAATCACATAATCTGATGGAATCAAGGTCAAGGGCCTGGCCATGTAGACACCCATGGGATGGAGTCTAGCTGATGAGGAGGGGAAGGGTTTCCCTGTCCTCACTTATGGAACGCACATGTGCACACGCGCACACACACACAGCCTCAGCTCAGGTTGAAAGCACTAGCTTGCTTCCTCCTCCTGTCAAGTCTCCTAATAATTCTCTCCTGAGAAAGCCAGTTCCTTGATGATCAACCCAACACACATGGATCTCTCCAGCCTTCACCCAACATCCACTGCCCACTCCCCAAGCTCCTCTTTCCACCTCATTTCAGGCTCCCCCTTTCCCTCTCCTCTACCTCACTCGCCAGCCTAATTTTCTTCCCATGGAGAAAGGCTCCCTGTTGAGAGGTCTGTGCAGGGACCTGGGCTGGCAGAGTCTGTCTCGTTGCATAAAAGACTCAGTGAGTCCCGGAGGCACTTGGAACCCAGACAGAATGGAATTTCTCCCTATTTTCTTTACAGCTGAGAAAACACACACCAACACAAGAGCATATTTACAGCAATATTTCTATCCCAAAGTTTGTCTTTAAAAAAAGAAATGAAACAGTTTCTCTGCCCACTCCACTCCCACCACCGCTGCTCCCTTTTTATTCCTTCCCATTTCCTGGTTTAGGCCAGTGAGAAAAACAGAGCGGCTCAAGCCCCACCGGGAACGACCACATCCTTGGACAATGTCTGGCTTGTTCAGAGAGCAGGGAAGAAACAGCTCCCCAGACCTGCACAGAACTTCCCAGCGAAGGGAGTTCTGAGGGAGCAACGGGCGGGCCTGTGTCTGAACACAGAATCCCTGAGGCTCTGGGAAGAGAGGAGTCCACAAGTCTAGGCCCCTCTGCAGCGTGGAGTGGACGCCTTCCCCTCCTTCCCTGGGGGAGCTATTTCCCACCATGATGGTCCCACTGGGCCTGAGCAAGAGATCCACGACGAGCGGCCCCTCCCAGTGCCAGATCTGCAGGCCCCCAGATCTTTTTCTTTTTTCTCTTTTTTAAAAAGATGACTGGTAAGGGGATCTTAACCCTTGACTTGGTGTTGTGAGCACCACGCTCACCCAGTGAGCTAACCGGCCATCCCTATATAGGATCCGAACCCGTGGCCTTGGTGTTATCAGCACCGCACTCTCCCGAGTGAGCCACGGGCCGGCCCTCCGATAATGAATTTTAAGTTACAAAAAATTGTCCAACAACTCTAATTTAAAAATAAAACTAGATATTGAAATAAATTTCTTACTTTTGTATTAAAAGGAAATGCCCAGACACTTGCATGTACAAATAAGTGCTTTCACCTTCCACACTCCACTCACACTCCCTTCCAGATATTGATCAGAAATACAATAAACTGCACCATTAAATGCGATCTTTTTCAAAGGCGTCAACATGCCTCATGCACTCATCTCTGTACCCTCAGAAGCACCTGCCCCGAGGTTTCTCAGGGGACTGATAATACATGGCCTGAGTGAAGGATGGGGGGTAAACAGAGGCCACTCTCAAACAGGCAGAGAAGGGCTGTGGCCCCCTCCTGCCCCTCCCCAGGTGTTCCTGGATGGGAACACCAGTGCTCCCCACTGGACCCCTGGGGGGCTCCCCTTCCCAAATCCATCCAGCCCCAGCTGATGGTAACTGGGCCAAGAGCGACACCTGGGCCACCAGACTCTAATGGAGCCAAGGTCGGGAAGCCAGAGGCGACCCCTTGGCTGAGCACTATCCCCAGCCTCTGAAAGCCCCATTCTTTAGTTCCAGTTGCTCCATATGCTCCAAGGATTCCTCCCTCTGTGATGCATACTCTTCTTAAACCAAAAGTAAACACTCACAGACCAGAGGGGAGGGCAGGGCAGGTGCCAAGGCAGCTCCATCCAACAGAACAACTCAGTGAGCATCCTCGGTGCAGGTCGCGGAGCGCGAGTCACAGAAACATCTGCAGCATGGCTCACGCCCTCTAGGACTGCAGTGCTCCATCTCGGCTGCATATTAGAACCTTCTGGGGGGCTTTGAAAAACCCTGAGGTCCAGGCTGAAGACCAGGTGACTTCAGCATGCAACCAAGCTTGAGAGCGGCTGCCCTGGCTGATCTCTTGTAAATTCAGGTGGGTCTTCCTAGGGTCTACCTGTGCTGGCCAGAGTCAGGGTCCCATTTATGCAGGGGATGCCCTTTACATTGTGGTCATCACAGATCTGTATACTTATCATGACAGTTTTCCAGCAGATGATATTAAGGAAGGCTTGTCTTTCTAATTCACATCTAGTCATTGTGCCAGCATGAGGGCGACAGGTATCCTAGGCGCTCATTTCTCTCCTAAATTTTTAGTCTGCTCATCTCACAGCCTCCTCAAGAGCTCTCTAGGTGGGCTTCCTTCCCCTGACTTAAACCAGGCCCCTGAATCTTGCCTGAAACCTTGGAGCAAGTCCATTCTAAAATACACAAGTCCCCTCGATTTGAAGTTGGTGGCAGGCCCAGATTTCACGAGGAAGGTTGGGGAGCTCGTCATTTTTCCAGGTTTGGAGGATTGTAATAGCCAGGATCCTCCAGAGAAACAGACAGATAGGACACATACACACACACGTACATACAGTCGTCCCTTAGCATCCGTGGGGAATTGATTCCAGGTCCCCCAGTGGATAACAAAATCTGCAGATGTTCAAGTCTCATATAAAATGGTGCAGAATTTGCATATAACCTCTGCACATCCTCCCATATACTTTAAATCATCTCTGGATTACTTGTAATACCTAATACAATGTAAATGCAATGTAAACAGTTGTATACTGTATCGTTCAGGGAAAAGGGAAAGAAAAGTCCGTACATGTTCAGTATAGAAGCATTTTTTTTTTCACATATTTTTGATCAGTGGTTGGTTGAATCCACTGATGCAGAATCCAGATACAAAGGGCCAACTCTGTGTGTGTGTTTGTGTGTATGCATGTGAGTGTGTGTGTGTGTGTGTGTGTGTGTGTGTGAGAGAGAGAGAGGAGAGAGAGAGAGAGAGAGAGAGAGAGAGAGAGAGAGAGAGAGAGAGTCACTGTAACCATAGAGATGGATTTTCCAGTCAGCAAACAACGTTCTAGATGTTGTATGTTGATATCTGGAGTGAGCAAATTCTAGGATTATTTTAAACAAAGTTGCCAGTGCCAGGTTGGAAGCACTATTTCAGAATTGTGTCTGGATGAAATAAATTATCACAAACAATGGGATTGTACTTTCAGTTGCTACTATGGAATTTTTTAAAGGTCATAATATAATTTGATGATATAATCTCATTATGAGCCAATATTTCAGCTTCATATTAATGGAACAAATATATAACATTTCTTTCCTCTTTCAACTCTACTCATATTAGGTAGTAATATTTTGCATTTTGAATTATACCTTTTTTTTTTAATAGCAGACTGGAGGCTGGCAAGTCCCGAGATCTGCATGGTGAATTGGTAAGCTGGAGATTCAGGAATGCTGAGAGTGAAGTTCTAGTCCAAGTCTGAAGGCTTACAACCCAGGAGAGCCAATGGGGTAGTTTCAGTGCCAAAGCCAATAGCCTCAAGATCCAGGAACAGCTGATGTTTCTGTTCAAGTCTAAAGGGAGGAAAAAAACCAATGACCTAACTCGAAGACCATCAGGCAGGAAGAATTCTCTCTTACTCAGGGGAAAGTCAGTCTTTTGTTCTATCCAATCTTCCACATTAGGGTGGGCAATCTTCTTTACTCGGTCTACCAATTCAAATGTTTATCTCATTCAGAAACACTCTCACAGACACACCCAGAACAATGTTTGACCAAATGTCTGGGCACCCCATGACCCAGTCAAGTTGACACACAAGATTAACCATCACTGGAATCATTGGAATGAGCCTTCACTAGCTGGAAGATGGTAGGTTAGGTTGATCCACCTAATGCCTGTAATTAAACTGAGAAAACTGTGAAGGTTTTGTGAGGAAAAGATTCTTGGAGGAAACATCTCACCAGCCACATGCAGCCTCCATATCTGAATGTGATTACAGATTCCTGGGCTTGAAGCTTATCACCATGGCCAAATGTCACGTGACCTCATCGTACTTTAACCATCCCAATAATGCCTCTGCCTCTCCTCTTCCAGGTGAACTATGACCACTTTACTCTTGGTTTTTGTGACTCTGAGGGTCATCACTGCAACCATCTCAGTAGAAGTTTCAGGTAAGGACATTCCCATGCATGGTTCATTTATTCAGTAGGTGCTGGGTTCTGAGTGCTGGCTACTGAACCTAGTGCTGCTGGTCCCAGGAATATCACTTCTTCTTTCTGGCCTTTTCTTGCCCCTGCCTGCTCCCTACCGATGCAAGTGTAACTGCAGTGGGAAAGCACCCATGAGCGTGCACACACACATCCGGGAGCCTCTCTCGAAAAATAGGGCTCCTGGCTGCCCTCTAGCTTGGACAGCTGAGGGGGAGATCCTGGCAGGTGCTTTCCCTCCCAGGATACTTCCCTCTGGGCATCTCACCTAGAACTGCACACACTGAGCTCAGGGTAGGGGCAGGACATAGACAACCAGAAGAGAAAAATTTGCCAAGAGGGGATTGGCTAGAGCATCCAAGAAAAAATACTGGCCTGAGAAACAGAGAGAATCCCCTGTGAGTCACATAGGTGTTTGCCCATCTTGACAAACCATCCTTGGGAAGCCCCCACGTATCAGGCTGGGTATATTTCTGATCATCAAGCCCTGAACCAAATGAACAAACCTTTCACTGACCCCAGGATGGGCTGCCCCAAAGTGGAATGTATCTCCCTCAGACGCAGAAAAGAGAGGCCCCAGCTTAGAGCCATGTTCTTTAGAGGACCCCCTCGGGCCCCTCTCCCAGCCTCAACCCTCCCCAAAGGAGGGGACTATAGGGCCAATGGGACATGTCCATCCAGCTCTGCACTCCCCTTTTAGACACATTCTGGGTACCCAGGATGCCCACAATCCCCTGTCCAAATGGGCCCAAGCCACCTTCAGGGCCTGCATGGGTCCATGACCCATGGTGTGAGCCACCCCTAGGCCCAAGGTGGGGGTTAAGGAGTGGCTGTTTGTATGTGGTGTAGACAGAGCTGGGATGTGAGGGCTGAGATCAACTCAGTGTGTGCATGAGACCCCTCACAGTACAGAGTCGGGGGAGAAGATAAGGCGGCCCAGCTCCAGCTCCACCTCCTCCCACCCAGCCACTGCATCCCAATGCACACACAGCTCTAAGGAACGCAAGAATTCTACATTTGAATCTGACCTTTCAGTTCATTTTGAAAGGTTTCATTGTCAAATAGGAGGATAGAACATATTTTATTGAACAATCTGTTGGCCTTATTTTAACTTTTGCACATGTAGACACATGGTCTACGGGCCTCCATTTGTATGGTTGCTCTGGGACCCACAAACACCTGGCCCCTGGCTAGACCCTGGGGTGGTTTGCCCACACAGGCAAACCAGTTCACTAGGGTTGAGCGAGAGCTTTAAAACCTGCCACTCTGGGCACTGCAGTCACCTTCAGCTTTCCCCCAGAGCCACCAGTGCTAAAACCACGCTGTGCCCAAGGGTGTGAGGGCTGAGCGTTCAGAGGGAGATGTTTGTGGAGGGGCTGGTGGGGACTGTCTAGCACATCAAAAGGTTAGGACTGGACTGTAACATTCCTGGCTCCTCTTTCCTCGGCCTGTTATGTATCCACCACCCACAAATATCTGAAACATTTTTATTTCAACCGGCAGGCTCTCCTGAAAGAAGGGCTCCATAAATTTATGACTCCCCATGAAAGGTGCTATTTTTTTGGAAAGCTGTTTCTTCCCATTCCAGACAGATCTTTTACTTCCAACAAGATTTGGTGAACGTACCACATCTCCCTTACCAACACTTTCCATGATTTTCATGGAGTCTGGTCCTGTCCCATTTCCTCCCCACCCCCCATCCCCCAATCGGACTCTTTGCAGACTAAAACACCTGATCTTCTCAGATGCTTCTCCACCTAGGCCCCTGAATCCCAAATAGCAAAAGAGAGTGACTTTCCCCTTGCAAGGATGGGCAACAGCCCACAGGAGACCTCCCCAGATGGGAAACATTTTGAAGTTTTGTGTCTTAGCTTTAAAAGTTGTATAGATTTCGGGCTGGCCCGGTGGCGCACTGGAGAGTGCGCCGCTTGGGAGCGCGGAAGCGCTCCCGCCGAGGGTTCGGATCCCATGTGGAGACCGGTTCCCGTTCACTGGCTGAGCGCGGTGCGGACGCAACACCGAGGGTTGCGATCCCGTTACCGGTCAGTAAAAAAGACAAAAAGGAAAAAAAAGTTGTATAGATTTTATCTACCCCACAATAATTTTTGCTATCCCAAAATCATTTTCCCAGAATCTTTGAGTCAAGCTGCCACTTTAAGATGGGTCCTATTTATCCTATGGTTTGGCACTCCTTGGGGTACCCCAGTTTGAGAAACAGAGAGGCAGTCCTGACTCTGACGTTTCCCCTGCCCTCCTCTGGAACCCTTTTCTCACTCCGCAGTTTCTGTTTTGAGGTGCAGAGGTGTCGTGAGGAACTCTGCTCTGGAAAGGGTGTGCAGGACTTCCTGGGAATTTCCATATGACACAGGAGCATCCCCCATCATAGGCACAAACACACGAGTTGGATTTCGGTCTCTCTGGATAGTGCATTTCCAGGACTGGCGGGGAGGCTGGGTGGTCCTGTGTAAGCACTAACAGGTCTGTCTTTCACCCACACTTCTTCACAGACCATGAGAACTCGCTGAGTGTGAGCATCCCCCAGCCGTCCCCACTGAGGGTCCTCCTGGGGACCTCCCTTACCATCCCCTGCTACTTCATCGACCCCATGCACCCTGTGACCACCGCCCCCTCCACTGCCCCCCTCGCCCCGAGAATCAAGTGGAGCCGCATCTCCAAGGAGAAGGAGGTGGTACTGCTGGTGGCCACTGAAGGACGGGTGCGGGTCAACAGTGCCTACCAAGACAGGGTCTCGCTGCCCAACTACCCGGCCATCCCCAGCGACGCCACCTTGGAAGTCCAGAGCCTGCGCTCCAATGACTCTGGGATCTATCGCTGTGAGGTGATGCATGGCATTGAGGACAGCGAGGCCACCCTGGAGGTCGTGGTCAAAGGTGAGAGCCTCCTGCAGGGGAACCGCTTCAACCACAGAAAGAACCAGAATGGGGTCCTCACTGGTGGGGGCCCAGGCGGGCTGGCTTTCAAACCCAGCTCCCCAACACACCTGTTCACACCTCATTCAAGTTGCTTAACGTCAGGTGCTTCCTCTGTAACCTGGAGTTGGTAGTAACTTTCTCTCTGGACTTTGGGGCTGATTAAATACTTCCTGGCCATGATCACAGGTGAATAACAGTCTGTGCTTCACGACAATCCTGTGATTCAGTGGGCCTTGTGATCATGCCCATTTTACAGACAGGCACGCTGAGGTTAAGTGACTTGCCTACTGTTACCCTGGAAATGAGTCAGAGCAGTCTCCTGACACTTCATCCAGGTGTCTTTTCTGTCCCCCTCTGCCACCTCCTCATTCTCAACTACGGAAGCCAGAGAAAGGGCTGAGGTCTCCCTGGTCTCCTTTCTTTCTGTGGCCCAAGGAGAACAGTTAGGTCCTTGGTTGGCTTCAGAACTTTGGTCAGCACCATATTTTTCACAGGGGGAGGTATAGTGAGAGGACTTTGTCAAAGACTGACATGTACGTCTCCTGGATGTACCTTAAACAAGGCTCCCTCAGGTCGCCCCTGGGCTGCGGGTGCATGAGAGTCTCATTCCCAAAGCAATATAGGGTCCTGGAATAACCAAAAAAAAAAAAAAATTATAAGGAGGCAGATTTTAGTTTAATTCAGAGAACTTTCTGATGATCGGAATTATATAAGCATTCAAAAAGGAATGTCTTGTGAGGTAGTGAGTTCCCCATTGCCGGGGGTGTTCCAGCAAAGTCAGCAGGACCCCATGCAGATGTGGAGAAGGATCCATGCATCAGCCTGGACCAGACTGTCCATGTGACTGCCACCGTAATTCTGTGAGGGCCTGAATGATCAGAGGCTGTGCTTCACCAGCTCTCCCGCCCACATGTGTCTTGCAGGTATCGTGTTCCATTACAGAGCCATCTCCACGCGCTACACCCTCGACTTTGACAGGGCGCAGCGGGCCTGCCTGCAGAACAGTGCCATCATTGCCACACCTGAGCAGCTGCAGGCTGCCTATGAGGACGGCTTCCACCAGTGCGATGCTGGCTGGCTGGCTGACCAGACTGTCAGGTAGCCCCCAGCCCACCAGCAGAGTGGGGCATCAGCACCGGGGGCCAGGGGTCAGAGGCCACAGTGGAAAGGGGCGGGTGATGGGGTGGAACGCTGACCAACACTGAGCTGGCTCCAGCGTGACACCATGCCAGCCTAGGTTAGGGTCTCCCTGGCCAACACGGGCACCCAATGACCCATCCCAAATCTTTGTTATTTTCTCTTATAATGGAGTGGGTGGCTGCCAGCAACCTTGTCCTGCACGTCATCTCCTTCCTACCCATTTTTCCCTTTGCCACAATTTTCTCACTCACTGCTATTGTTGTTGTTGTTGTTAAGTTTGGTGTTTTCGGTATTTTTGTAAGCCATCTTACATCCTTTTTGTTTTAAATAAGGCAAGACATACACTAAGTAAGCTTCTTGGGTGCGGGTGTTGGGGAGAGTAGGTTGCACAGCAGTGCAGATGCAGCCCTGCCCTGCAGGGTTCTCCATGCCTTGTAAATGAGACTGTGCAGGCAAGACACAGTTCATTCCAGGCACATCATAGCTCTAACTGTAAAAGCCAGAACCACAAAGCCTCAGGGAGAAAACAGAGGAAAATATCTTGCAATCTTAGGATAGGCAAAGAGAACTTAGGGCACAGAAACAACTAACCATTATAAATAAATAAATACATACATAAGTAAATAAAAAGATCAGACAGTCTAGCATAGTGCAAGAGCCCACACCTTGGCCTTAGACAGAGCCGACTCAAATCCCAGCTCTGGCACTTGGAAGTTGTGTGACCTCGGACAAATTGTTTAATATCTCTGAGCCCCAGTTTCTCCAAGTGTAAAATAGTCATTATAGCACCTGTCTCACTGGGCTGATGCTATGGAGCAGGGGCCCACGGGCCAAATGCAACCCTCCCCTTGTTTCTACAAATGCAGTTTTATTGGAACACAACCATGCTCATTTGTTTGTAAATTGTCTGTGGCTGCTTCGTGCCACAGTGGCAGCTGAGTGTCATCACAGAGACCTTATGGCCTGCAAAACCTAAAATATTTACTATCCGTCCTTTCACAGAAAAAGTTTGCAGGCCCCTGATAGAGCACGTTTGGTACCAATAAATACCCAGTAAAGGGGCCACCTTTAATCATTAATAACTGAAAAGCAGACAGGAGGTCCACATATGCAGAGCAGACACAGTCAAATGCGATATGTCACCTTTTCCTCCTGTGAGGACTCAGGCCATGGGCTTCCCTGTGTCCCCTGAGAGTCACACCCCCACTTTGGATTCCTGGCAGGTACCCCATCCACACTCCCCGGGAAGGCTGCTATGGAGACAAGGACGAGTTTCCTGGTGTGAGAACCTACGGCATCCGAGACACCAATGAGACCTACGACGTGTACTGCTTCGCCGAGGAGATGGAGGGTGAGGCTCCCCTGCCTGCCAGGAGCAGCCCTGCTCCCTCCCCAGAGCCCCCTTCTCCTCCCCATCACCCCACCCAAACTCGGGATGGGGATAGCACAGGCTTGCTCTGGGCAGGGCGCTAGCTCAGGGCCTGACATCTGGATCCTCCTCTGCCATGAAGGGGTGGGGGTGGGACCTACAGGAGGGTGGGACCCCTCACCCTCCATTTTAGAGAAGGTCTCGATGGCCCCAAGTATCTGCTAACTGTCTGGCGTCACCACCAGGCCATGTGCATGTGTCACAGGAGTTCTCTCACCTAGGACTGCTCCTCCCACCCAGGACCAGGCTGCTCTGGGCAGCTCATCCCTATCCTTCAGGTCTCCTGCACCATCAAAGCCCAGTCCAGCCTTGTCACTCTCACAAGGGACACCCAGGCCACTCCAAGGTGGGCCCATCAGCAACAAAGTTCCCACGAGAGCTGGCTGCCAGCCGCCCTGTCTCAGCTTCTCTGCTGCCTGCCCCAGCCCTATTCCAGGCCTTCCCAGTGGGCAAATCGGAGACAGCGGGAAGGAACCTGGTTTTTTCTGTTTTGTAAAGGGCACTAATTTTGGTCACAGAGTTACCCAAACATGTGGAGGACACCCCTTCCACAATCTGTACCCATCTACCCTTTGGACATTCCAGACTCTGCTACCTCTGGCAACTGCCCCCACCCCCCACCCACCCCC